TACTCGCCAGAATCCTAAGATACAGGCTAAATATATACTTAAGGGAGCAGGAGGGTTGGGGTCGTTTAAATATTATGTAACGCAATTTGAAATAAAAAAACTGAAAAATCTCCCAAATCCTTTTCGTTTATGTTTTACCGTTAATCCCTTGTATCGTATTGTACAATATTGTTATTTTGTTCTTTTTATTTGTGTTGTACGGGGAATCCTTCTACTGTATTGTACGTCATTTTATTGTTGTTAAAGTAAAGTCATACTGTAATGTCATCAAAAGTTGAAAAAAATACGAAAATTGTAACTTCGATGAATAGGTGGAATATAGAAAGCCTGATCATAGTTTACAGGGTCCAGCAAAAAATAATCTGATATGGTATAGCACTACCGTGAATCGCAATATTTCTTGCAAGTCACTAAATACGAGAAGGAAGCCCACTGTTCGCCGCTAGAGGAGTGCATTGAATGTCTTCTACATCTCCATAATAGTCTCTACATATATTTAGTCTCAGTTGGAATGATTTTCGTGTTCCGTTTATTCTGTACAACCTCGTATCATAGTGCTTCCTAAGGGTTTCCAACTCTTCCATATTTCTCTCTCTAGGACGATAAGTCACATTGTTTGTCCGTTAGGGTAACTACGCCTAGGAAAGAAATCTGAACTACAAACATCTGACATTTTAATCATATTTTGTTCTTGAAACGATACGGTTGATTTAGTACTAATTCATCCTACAAATTAATGATTCAGATATCCTTATTCGGATTATTTACTACTTCATCAGTAATTATTTTTTTCACAAATATGCTAAAAATATAGGTATTTAAATTACTGTAATTGTAAGGTAAGACTTATATACATTTACATATACACTTATTATAAAAATAAAATGACGTTTGACAAACGTCAACGTTTTACCAAAATAAAATCAAATCAAATAAAATTAAATTAAAATTAAATAAAATTAAATACAATCAAATAAAATTAAACAAAACTAAATAACATAAAACAATTAAACACAATTAAACATAAATGAATAAAATCAATAAAATTCAATAAAATTAAATAGAATTAAAAAAAAATAAGTAAAATTAAATAAAATTAAATAAAATGAACTAAAATAAATAAAATTAAACAAAATTAAATAAGAAAAATAAGTAAATAATATTGTAGCATATTTAAATTCTTTGAAATATATTGGAATCACCCCGTATGTTAAAACACCGAAGTATATTTTCAATGTATTTCTGTTTCCTATCGTACGAATTAAAACACCGAAATATTCTTTCAATCCTTTTCACGTGGACGAGTTGATAATATCTCCATTTTTAAAGTTTGTTTATATATCACAGATGCATATTTCCTCGGTATTCTTTGATCGTTCTCTGCCTAATATTGCGCCTGAAATAAACATCTACTTGGATCGCTGAGAAGGTTTTGCGGGGAAGAGAATAACATCACTCTCGCTGAGGCCGCTGTCAGGGGCAGTTGGTTTCAGTGTTTACTCAAAATTTTTCTTCAAATTTGTAATGTTTTGTGTTTTTTGTTCCTTTTCATGGACAATGTGTAGTATTGTGGGAGTTAATTGTGCAGTATGTGTAGTTACAAGGTTTGAAGGAATCTTTGAAAAGAGAACACGCTATGAGTGTCGGCGTCAAGACCGACAAATTTGAAATTTACCCACATGTGTTCCAGTTTTTTAAGAAGCCGAGTCTAAAATTTGAGTCCCAGTGAACAACTTCCAGCCTCAATTTGTTTGTCCTAAGAAGCTGTTTCAGAATATTTCCTCAGTGTTTGAAGATGAATTTATTCGTGTGGCAGAGAGTGTAAGTTTAAATATTTAGCCCTAGGGATAAATAAATTAAATAACTTTTTAAACTATTTGAGCGATGTGTGGGGGGGGGGGGGGGAATTTTCGCACAAATTTAAAAGACGGTAATTCCCCGATTTTCAAATCTATTAATAACATTTTATTTTGTCAATAAAAACATTAATAAAATTTATAAATTAGTGCGAAAAACTGCTTTTTTGCAAATATCTCCGTAAATTATTTATCAATTTTAATTTAAAAAACGGAAAAAAAAAATATTCTTGATATAAAAAAAATGATATGAATATTGTTTATGTAAAATATAAGATAATACAAAAAACCAAAAAATCAAATTGTGACCATAAATTATTGTTTAAAAAAAACGCAAGACGAGTACTTTTTCACCTATTCGCCATCTAGTAACCCCCACCTATGTCTTAAAAACTTCAGATATCTACGAAAACATGCACATGCACATGCACAAAGCACAACATAAATCAAAAAAACCTGTCAACCTGTCAATAGGGACATACAACATTAGATCAATGTCCACAGATGAAAAAGTACATGAACTGGAAGAAGAATTAACAAACATAAAATGGGATATCATAGGCCTATCAGAAACTCGAAGAAAAGAAGAAAACCGAATACAGCTAAAATCTGGTAATCTACTATATTATAAAGGCAATGAAATGAGTAGTAAATTTGGAGTAGGATTTATAATAAATAAAGCTATAAGTAAGCACGTCCAAATTATCAAAGGTATATCAGATCGTGTCGCCTATGTCATACTTAAAATAAGAAGAACATCAATTAAAATTATCCAGGTATATGCCCCCACGACAGCTTATGATGAAGAAAATATCGAACTATTTTATAAAGATATATCAAAGGCTATGGAAGAACATAAAAATCATCTTACACTAGTAATTGGAGATTTCAATGCCAAACTGGGTAAAAACTAAACAAAGAAGAAACTAAAATAGGAGATTTCGGGTATGGCGAGAGAAATGATAGAGGTGATACTTTGATGAACTACCTAGAAGAAAAGCATCTATACGCAATGAACTCCTTTTACAAAAAGAAGCCCCAACGAAAGTGGACATGGATCAGCCCTAATGGATCCACAAAAAATGAGATCGACTACATACTGTCCACGGAACGATATATCATTAAAGATGTAACAGTTCTTAACAGATTCACAACAGGTAGCGATCACAGGATGGTCAGAGCAAAAATTAATATTGACGGTAACTATGAGATGAAAAGAAAAATAAGTAGAAACTGGAATCTAGTAGATAGAAACAAACTAGGTCAATATAAAGAGATATACAAAGACCTATTAAAAGAACAACTTACCCAAAGATTAGACAGTGACGATAAAGATATAGACGAAATAGACAACATACTTACAGCAACAATGATTACACCAGGAAAAGAAATAGCAAAGAAGGATCTAAAAAAGAACAACTATATATCAACAGAAACAAAGAAGCTTATGGATAAAAGAAGGAAGCTGAACGAAGAAGGCAAAAGGAAATCTATAGAATATGTAGAAATTAATAAAACAATAAGCAGAATGATAAAAGAAAGTAAGAGAAAAGAACAAGAAATAAAAATAGAAGAAGTAATACAAAACAACAAAAATATGAAATGCTTAAGGCCGAAATTAGGTAAGTTTGAAATTAACAAAATAAAAGATGTAAATGGAATAGAAACAAACGTTAAAGATGACATCATAAATATAATCCACCATTTCTACTCAGAATTATATAAAACAAAAAAGGAACCACCAGAAGAAATTAAAAACCAACTTAAGGTCAAAATAAAAAATGTCAACTCAGAGCTGCAGCCCGAAATAAGCAAATCAGAAATAAAGAAGGCATTGAAAGAAATAAAAAACAATAAATCGCCTGGAAAAGATGGAGTAACTACAGAGATGCTGAAATATGGTGGAAAAGTGGTAATTAATACTCTACATTCCCTTTTTAACAGGATATTAAAAGAAAAAAGAATCCCAAACAACTGGAAGGAATCAGTAACCAGTATCCTACACAAGAAAGGGGATAAAGCAGATATAAAAAACTACCGTCCTATAACACTCCTCAATGTAATGTATAAACTCCTAACAAAAATTTTAACCAATAGATTGACGACAAAATTCGATGGATACCAGTCGAAAGAACAAGCTGGTTTTAGAAAGGGATTCAGCACAACTGACCATTTACTAAGTATGAAAATACTTATAGAACGAGCAAATGAATACCACATTCCTCTATATATGGCGTTCATAGATTTCGAAAAGGCTTTCGACAGTGTCGAACATTGGGCAGTGAAAAGTTCTTTGATTAACAGCCGAATTGACCACAGATATACGGAACTACAAAAGTGAGGGATGTTAGACAAGAAGTTGCAAAATTGAAATGGAGATTTGCCGGACACAATATAAGACAAAAAGAAGACCGATGGAACAAAATTCTTATAAGTTTAAGACCGTGGGAATATAAACGAAGCAGAGGAAGGCCCCAAATGAGATGGGCAGATGATATCAAGAAGCACGTGGGCTCTAGATGGATGACTGATGCGACAGACAGAGAAGATTGGAAAAGGATTGGGGAGGCCTATGTCCAAAGATGGACCGAAGAAGGCTAATTAGATAGATAGATAGATCTACGAAAAATTTTGCCGTGAAATCGATAATTTTTGAATAACCAGACTGGGCTAATGCGCATCTTTAGCAAGTGAACGATATTTTGTTTTTCATTTTAGAGAGGTACTGCAGCGTTTATTTGTGGACGACTTGACAGCTTTAGGTTTAAGACTAAGCTGGTTAATGAGTATTTAATTTCCGGTACATTTAGTTTCCCATTTTACACCTGTTTATCGTGGTGTTAGTGCGCTATTAATTTCAGAATTCTCTTTGTAATAAGTCGATTAAATAAGTCCCTTCAATAGCGGATGTTTTGTACAATTTACTGGAAATATGATCTTAGGAATAATGTTTTCGTAACTACTGAATCACTAATTCTTTTATCTGCAATTGGTGTTTATTTATTCTGACGTCTAATCCGCTCTCTCACATTTTTTTTATATTATTTTCTGTATAAAACTTGGTAATGTACTTGGTATATTGACATACGAAGCAAAAATTTGCGTGTAACCTATAGGATACTAATATCTAATATTATTACTAACCTGGATGCAAGGCGGACTGGATCGTAGTGCGTTGATGTGGAATAACCGTTGACTGTACAAGCAAGACTTAAATAAGACGGCAAATGAGGTTCAGGGGACGGCGACAATATGCTTGCGCTACGCAATGTGCCTGCAGAAGAAGCCTCAGACCAATCTGTAAAAAGATGATATCATCAATTATACTGATATATTACAATATACTAGAGTATGGATTATAAATTTCGTTTGAGCAAAAATAGTCAGTCCTTGTTAAAAGTTTGACAAAAAAAAATGTGCTAGACATGCAATGCTACTAGAGTATATTTGTTAAATTCATTATTTCATCACAATATATTTAACAAGAATTAGATTTTGTAATATATAAACGAGTTTTCGATACATATACAGAAAGATTTAAAATTTGATGATTTGTTTTTCGACAGTCGTTGGTTGTTATAACAGGTGGTACTGCAGACAATTAGCTTATTGTAAATCCTTCATTCGTGTAACCTTCTGGCTCAGGTATTAGTATAACGGCTACTTACCTAGGTGGGACTGACGGCTTTACATGGCCTCTTAAGTCAGAAAGAAATTTAAGTGAAAACGACTGGCGGGATAGACAGGTTTTGAGACCAATGTAGTAGTAGTATTGGTTAAGTATATGTCGACTAGATGACTTAGTTGAGTGATAGACATACGTCGAAGCCTGTATGGCATGTAAAATGGGGAAACATTGAGAAACATTTTAAACAGGGCTGTATAAATTCTTAGGATCTACGGCATTGACTTCGTAGTCACGATTGAAATCTGGTGGGTCGATATATAAATAGTACGGTGAGAGATAGGGTTTTACGCCTTGATGAATACTCGTTCGCTGATCCCTACCAATAGTAAATGTAAGCATAAGTCGCGAGTCCAGCCGGTGACAGAAAGTAATTTATTAAATGAAACAAATTTAAATTCTCATCTTTTTCGGATAGATAATCGGTAGGAGGTATCGAGATGTTCTAAGACATTTACTCAACGCACGTAGACTACACAAAATGTTTATTCAGTTAAATACCTTACATGGTTGATGCGGATAATTACAAACAGAGAAAGTACAATTATTATATGATATCCAGATTATAAACTTTAATGATACAGCTTCAATGATACAGTTTTCAGAATACCCATGAGGTATTAGATAGGTGAGATAAGTAAGAGTAACAGATCGCAACACATATCTAATGAAACGTATATAGTTTACATTTCAAGTCGCTTTTCTGTAAGAGTTTGAAGCAGGAATGAGGAAAAATCTATACTACAAACAGCGGTCTTAAGGGAGGAAGATACTGAGACAAACCAAGTAGAAATTCCAAGAGGAGTCAGACAGGGATGTGTGATGTCGCCACACTTATTTAATGTGTAATCCCAACTAATATTTCAGAAGGCACTATGGGAAAGAACTCAAAATGTAAGGATTGGAGGAAGCATCCAAGATTTACAAATTCTTATAGAAATCATTAACAGAGAAAGCACAAAGATGGGACTAACAAAGAATATAGATAAAACCAAATACATGATAATCTCGAAAACCCCGTTTTACAAACAAGAAATAGAGTATGGTTATCAGATTGAGATTCGTCGAATGTTATTATGGTCGAAAGTGCAATATGGGGTAGAAGCTTTGACTCTGAAAGCCCAATCAATAAAAAAATTTGAGTCATTTGAAATGTGACTATATAGGCGTATTCTATGAACATAATTAAAATGAGAAAACATCGTATCTCACGTCGAAACGATAAACACTCTCTTCTACACGTTGTCATGCAAGGAAGCGTAGAGGGAAAAAAAGTTTGGTAAGAAAGAAAAAATTTTGGCTGAGGAATATCAGAGATTGGACTAACTTGAGTGTAGAACAAATATTTCACGTTTCAAAAGATAGAGAACCGTTTAAAGATTTTATCGCCAAAGTTCTGTTTATTATAAATGTTAAAAATGATATCTTAAATAATGGGCAAATTTTAAAAACACCTAGGTACTTGGTTAAATTACCGCCTCTCTAAAATACAACATTCAGTTCTAACGATGACAGTAAAGATAATTATTTATGCCTACGTTTAAGGCCGAATAATTACATATGTATAATAAATCACACAAAAATAAATCAGGCATAAAAAGTGAACGGATCATTAAATCAAATTTAATTAACCTACTACACAATACCAATCATGCACGCCGGTTTTGCGAACCAATTTTTTCATTATGAAATAAGATGTAAATCAAGCAAAGCATGTTCTCATTAAAATTATTCATAATTATGGTAAAATTCTCACAGAATTTTAACAAAGAGAAATATTTCTTCATTCCGTTGCGAGCATTCACAGTAAACAGACGATCCTTAAAATCACATTAAGCGGCAGATAAGTTTTTGCGGTGATTAAAAATCAATATTTATATTTATAATTTAAATTTTGTGTAAATATATCGGTTAAATATTTGGAATTTTTGTGAAAATAAGTGATTTACCTCCCCTAATGGGGGAGGAAAATAACAATAAGACGCAAATGTGCGATTTAAGTGTTGCGACAAGTTCTCCAGAACATGACATGGAAATTGGTGCGAGTTCCGGTGATAAAACTGACAAAACAAGGGAAGTAAAACTTTATAACATTTCTTCTAATAATTATGATTTTCATAGCTGTTGCGTATATATCGAGAATTTAAATAATCAGAACATTTCTCGTTTACATCCAATGATTGTGGGGGAAATTTTGCATCAAAAACTGAAAATCAAAAATCTAAAGGAAATTAAATCTATAGGAAAAAATAGAGTTAAAGTTATTTTAAAATCAATTTTGGATGCAAATCATCTAGTAACACATAATAAGTTAAAGGATGAAAATTTAAAAGCCTATATCCCTAACCATCTCTTGGAAATCAAGGGAATAATTCACGATGTAGATACGAGGTATGATACTGATTATTTAAAAAAACATATAGACTCTTCCGTTAAAATTACTGACATTAAAAGAATGCATAGAAAGGTAGATAAAGACGGTAAAACAGAATACGTCCCCAGACGAAATATTATAGTTACATTTGAAGGAAATGTTTTGCCAACTTATGTCGTAGTTAATTTTGTGTATTTGCCAGTAGAAAGATTTGTAGGCAGGGTAATACAGTGCTACAAGTGTCTGAAATTTGGTCACATTTCTAAGCAATGCAAGGGCACACAAGAATTTTGTATACGATGTGCAGAAATTAAAAATGATAGTCACATATGCGACACTAAAAAAACTTTTTGTATACATTGTAAAAGTAAAGATCATATTTCGATCTCCAAAAGTTGTCCCGTTTATGAGGAACAAAAAAAAAATTAAAAACATTATGCTAGATCAAAAAATCTCCTTTCTAGAAGCCAAAAGATATAAAGAGTCATCTTTTTCCGGATTTGTTAGTAATAATAAATTTTCGTTATTGTCAAACCTTGAAGAAAATTTTCCAAAACTACCTAATGTATCTGATGACATTACGTCATCTCATCCTACCATTCCAAGACCGTATATGAAAAAATCAACAAACTTTGCTCATCCTGGACCTAGTAAGATTAATACTGAACATTATGCACATAAAAAAAGGAAAGTGTCTACTCCTGTTTCACAATCCCCTACAGATTCTACCACCTTTCCTTTTAGATTTGGTCCGTTACAACCTCTACCACCCAATCCCAATAAACCTAATAGTTCAATAGATGGTGAAAAAAACAAGATAGTTATTTCGTTAGTCAATTTTTTTTCTGAATTTATAAAAAATGTCAAATCAGTTGAGGATGTAAAAACACTGGATAATAATTTGTTAGCTAAGGGTTTGTATACTGTTCTCGAGGATATTTTTAAAAGTACTTAAATTTATGGCCTTAAACACTAAACTTAAAATTATGCAATGGAACGCTAGATCAGCTGTTGCAAATAAAAACAGCCTACTCAATTTTCTAACTAAAGAAGATGTTGATATAGTTCTTTTAAGTGAAACCTGGTTCAAAAGTAATGTTGTATATAATTTTAAAGGTTATAATATTGTTCGTCAAGATCGTGCAGACGGTTTTGCTGGTGTCGCTATTTTGGTAAAAACGGGTATCCGTTTTGAAATATTAAAATTAAATAAAAACTTCAATAAAGAGCTGCTTGCCTGTGGTATTAAAATTAATTACGATAATACTCACTTGAGTTTTCTCTCTGTGTATAGATGTCCAAAAACCAAAACCAGAATAGAAGATTGGAAAAACTTATTTTCCCAAGTGAAGCACCCCTGCATTATTGGAGGTGATATGAATGCCCACAATGCGCTCTGGGGATCATCAAAAAATGATAATATTGGCGATCAAATTGTAGAGACCCTACAGGATCTTGATTTTATTGTGATGAATAACGGTCAACCTACTTGTCAAGGAAATCCAGGACATTCAGATTCTATGATTGATATTACGGTTTGTTCCCCTTCCATTTTTGCTAAGACATTTTGGACTGTAGATTCTGATACACTTGGATCAAATCACTTTGTTGTAAAAATAGAACTCGAATACTCAAGAGTTATTAATGAGACCATATACCCCAAAAGTAAATGGAATATTAAGAAAGCCAATTGGGATATGTACGCTGAAATAATCGAGAATATGTTAAATGAAAGTGGACCTATAACCCCAAATGCTGAAGAAAAATATAATACTTTATTAGACTGTATCAATAAAGCTTCCACACAATGTATTTGCCAATATAAACCCTTTAAGTGTAAAAAACGGACTCCTTCACCGTGGTGGGATGCAGAATGTGATCTAATTGTTGCAGAAAGGAAAAATGCATTAATAAAATACAAGCAAGATCCATCAGTTGAAAATTTTATTAAATGTAAACAAGCTAGTGCTCACGCTAAGAAATTATTGAAATCGAAAGCCAAACAAAGCTGGGTTGATTGGTGCTCAAAATTAAATAAACAAACATCGCCTACCTCGATTTGGAATCAAGCAAAAAGGATGAACAGGAAAATGGTCAATGCTCCATTACCACTGGAAGATTCGTGGACAGAAGAGTTTTTGGACAAAATTGCACCACCATATGTGAACAATCACGAAGATTTGATGTTATTCAATCCGAATCATAGTCATTTTCTCTTAAAACCATTTACAATGCTAGA